CCGATCCTGCGAGGCCAGGGGCCGAGGGGGCGCGCGCAGAACTAGACGCGAGGCCCCTGCAGGGCCTCGCGTGGCACGCGACTCCCCGGGCCCTCGCGGGCCCCCCTGGCCCCTCTCGGAGCCCCAAGTAGACTCCAAGAGCGGCCGCAGGTGCCCCGAAGGATTCTCAGAGTGCCCCCCCGAGAAGGGCCAACGGGATTGGGGGGGCAAGAGCCCCCTCCCCCCCCTCCCCCTCACCACGAGTGATGTAGCAACCTCGGGCCCGCTGCTACCTGAACCCATGGGCACTCTTGAACTCCCCCCCCCCAGGCCCCTCTCGGAGCCCCAGGGAATCCCCGATCTGATTCCTAGAGCTGCCAGCTAAAGACAGCCCCAAGAGGGACAGGGGGGTGCGATTGCCCCAGGACTTACGTGCCAACCAAGGACCCGCTGGTGCAAAACTGCATGGGCCCTCTCGGGCCACTAAAGGGCCTCTCTCTTGGAAATCCAAGGATGCCCCATGAAGGCCCCGCGCGCGGCTACAAGTGCCCACGGGGGGTCGGGGGGGGGGGGGGGGGGGGGGGGGGGCAAAGAACTCACAGAGAAACCCAGGATGGGGCCCAAAGAGAGCTCTAAGAGTTGCGCAGCAACCTGTGGCCCTGTGCCACATGAATTGTTGCCCCCCGAGAGCTCCTCATGGAACCCTACGGGGGGGGGGGGGGGGGGGGCTACGTGGGGGGTCGAGAGCCGAAAGTGCTTCCGGCCCCCTATGGAGACCAGAGAAAGCTCCAAGAAGGGCCGATGGGCGCCCCGAGACCCCGTGAAATAGATACCAACCAATGGCCCGATGGTACATAACTCCCCAGGCCCTCTCGGGCCCACCCACAGCCACTCGCGGAGGCCCACAAGGGCCCAGGAGGGGTTCCAAGAGCTGGCCCCAGGCGCCCCGAGGGCACAAGAAAAAAAGCTTCTAGGGGGGTCCACTAGGGCCCCAAACGTCATGTACTAACCAAGACCCGTTTGTATACACATGATACCACAGAAAAACCAATTCATAATTTGTTGGGGGCTATGGGGCTTTAGGGCTATGGGGCTATAGGGCGATGTGACCATAGGGATATAGGGCAAGAAGCCTTCAGGGCTATGGGGCTATAGGGCTACAGGGCTGTAGGGCTATAAGGCTAAGGGCTATAAGGCTATTCAGGCTATAGGGCTATAAGGCTATATACGGCAATAGGGCTTTAGGACCATAGGGCTATCGGGCTATAGGGCTTCAGGGCTGTAGGGCTATAAGGCTATAGGGCTATAGGGCTATGGGGCTATGGGGCTATGGGGCTATTGGGCTATACGGCTATAGGGTTATAGTGCTATAGGGATGTAAGGCGATTGGGCTATTGGGCTATGGGGATATAAAGCTATTGGGCTAAGCGCACCCGGGCACTTCTGGGCACCCCGGGCACCCCTGGGCACCCGGGCACCCCCGGGCACCCCCGGGCACCCGGGCACCCGGCCCCGGCCACCGAAATCGGCCACACACCTGGGCACCCGGGCACACCCGGGCACCCCCGGGCACCCCCGGGCACCCGGCCCCGGCCACCGAAATCGGCCGCCCACCTCACCTCAGCTTTATATCCGCTAGGACCCCATACAGAGGCAAGCTCTGATTGGGGAATCATCGGGCCCTCCTGCCCCCCCCCCCGCGCTCCGCCCCGCCCCGCTCGCCCCTCGCCCCGCCCCGCCCCAGCCCGTCTCGGAGCCCGAAGAATGCCCGGAGAAGCGCTCCAACATCGGCCATGTGCGTCCGCGAGGGGGGGAAGGGTGGCAAGGAGCTCCAAGCGAGGCCCGTGGGCGCCCGGATATTGCACCAGGCACAAACCAAAGGCCAGATTCTACATGAGTTCTTGGGCACTCTTGCCCCCCCCCCCCCCCCCTCCTCTCCCCGAGGCTCCTCTCGGGGCCCCAAGAAAACTCCGAGATGGCATTGGCTCCCAGAGCGGCCCCTGGCCCGCAAATGGGGGAAGAAGCTCCAGGAGGAGCCGAGGGGGGCGGGGCGGGCGCGCGATTGCCTTTGGACTTATAACAACCAATAAGGGCCTGTTGGCAAATAATTCCCTGGGCCCTGCCCCCCAAAGCCTCTCGGGGAACCCAAATGAATGCCCCGAGAGACTCCAGGAGTTGCCCCGGGCGTCCCCGAAGGGGCCCAAGAGAGCTCCAATGCAGGAGAAGCGGGTGGCGGGTGGCGCGCATCAGAACCTCCGGCTCCGGAAGATCGCCCCGGGTCTCTGAAAGACCGGGGGGGGGCATCCAAACCAATGCCGTTCTGGGGGGGGGGGGGGCCTTTGCATGAATCTGACCCTCTGGGGGACTTTGCAAAAAATATGACACTGGGGGGCTGTGCGCAACAAATGGCCCAATGGATCCTCGCGAAAAAATAACAACTGCCCTGGGGGACTTTGCCGCGTGCCTGGTTCGATGGGGGGGGCGGGGGCCTTGCGAAAAAATCTGACGGGGCGGGGGGGGGCTTTGTGTAAATCTGAGCCGCAGGGGGGGGGGGGGGAGGGGGGCTTTTTTTGCAGAATTCCCAGGGGGCCGTCCGCAGGTGAGCGAACGGCGCCTGGTTGACGTCGGCGATCCGACCGCAGCTGACCCAGCGCGCGGCTGCGCAGGGACGAGGCAGCCCGGGTATATATATATATATATATATATATATATATATATATATATATATATATATATATGCGTCTCTGTCTGTCAGAAGTGCTCGCGTAGGCCCCCGAAGAAAACCGCCGGCAGCTCGGGAATACAAACTAGCGGTCGCTAGTCTATACCACCCTCGGAAAGTAGCCCCCAATTTAGGCCCCGACACACGTTCCAAAGAACCGTCGAAAATCGCCCAGGCGCTGAAAAGCACGTGGGGACATGCGCGAAACCGGCCGAAGTACCAAAAGCACAATTCAAAATATCTTGCTCATCCAAAAGTACAGGCCGAAGTACCGTCGCCCGTAGAAAGTGCATCTCAATGTACCATCGCGCGTGCAAGGTACAAACCCAAGTACCGCTCCAAGTACAAAGTACATCCCAAAGCACCGTCGCAGGCACAAAGCACATCCCAAAGTACCATCGCAGGTGCAAAACCAAGTACTGTCGCGGGTACAAAGCACAATCCCAGGTACCTCCCAAAGTACATCCATAAGTACCTCTCAAAGTACCGTCGCAGGTACAACACACAGTCCAAAGTACCGTCGCAGGTACAAAGTACACCCCAAAGTGCAATCGCAAGTACAAAGTACAATCCCAAGTAACGTCCCAAGTACAAAGTACATTCCGAAGTACAATCGCAAGTACAGAGTACAATCCAAAGTACCGCCCCAAGTACAAAGTACATCCCACAGTACCGTCCCAGGTACAAAATACATTCCAAAATGCAACGCCGATTCGTCGGAAGTACAAAATACATTCCGAAGTGCAGCAGGAAAAACGTAAAAATAATCGCGCGCGCGCGCACGGGGCGAAACAAGGCGTTGGAAACATATGCGGCCCCACCACGGATACCGAGCACGCCGCACCGCACGGCGCCGCCAACGCTGGGGGCACCAACCAAGGCTGGCCAAAGTACAGCGCTCTGCCTCAACGCCCCGACTTCAGAATGATGCAATGCACCCCGCGCCCGCGCGATATGCCGCACCTCTCCCAAAAGAATTTCACGGCGCCGGCGCCCGCGACGAGGCCGCGAGCGACGCTGGCGCCGCGCAATTGAGCGGTGAGAAGCCATCGGCAATGCGAGCGATGCGCAGCTTTCGCTCTCGCGCCACATGAGCAGCACTGCGTGCAACTTGCGACTCGGTTTAGCAACTGGCGCCAACCTGGAGCTACTCGGCGCAGCTGGCACACGCAACAAGCTTCTGCGGCACGCGCCAGCCGCGCGCAAAAAAAAATAAAAATCATGCGAATTATTGGCCGCGTCGCGAGCGCGGCCCCGTTGCGCGCGACGAGTCGAAAGTATCATATGGGGCGCTGGAACGGAATCCACAGCGCATTGCTGTATCTCTGATCTGTTCGTCGCCTGGGCACAACACAACTGGACTGGGCATTTTGGGCGGATCTGACGGGGGGCGGCATTCTCAGAGGACGCGCAGCGCTCTCTGCCGCTCGCGCTCGAAGCGCGCAAAAGCTCCTGGGCCGAAGACGGACGGTGGCAGGCTCGCGGGAGGCGGCGCCAAGTTTAATGCGAATCAGTTGAACTCAGCGGCCGAGGCGTGAAACCACCAATTTGGAAAGCATGGCCGCAGGCGGGGCGTTGCCGACGCTTGTCTCGCGGCTTGCGGTGGCGGTCCACGGCGCGAACATTCAAAATTGCCGACAAAGCGTTGCGGCGCAGGGCTCAGACGCCAAGACTTGGGCACCAATGCCCAGCTCTCAAGACAAGCGGGCCTGGCGAGCTGCGCCGAATACACGGCTGGAAGTTTAGGCGCCCAAGCGCTACGCTCGGCGCCGACGGCCGGGAACCCCGGGGCCAGGCCCAGGGCGCAAGGCCGAAGGCCCGTTGATAAGGACAGAGGACCGCGGCCTGGCGGCGCAAGGCCTCAGGCTCAGGGCCAATTTCTGAACGGCCGCGGGGGCGAGGCGCAGGCCCCGAAGGCTCATGTCGAAGGTTGCGCCCGAAGGCGCAGGGCCGCAGCGCAGGCGCGCCATCCAGCGAGCAGAACCACTGGGCGCCATGGGCATCAAGTCCATCGTCCTGGGGAGCACTGTCTACTTGCTCTAAGCTACCGCTTGGGCGCCAGAGGGCGCCTGGTCAAACGATCCCCGTGCGAGCCCCCCACGTCGCCAGACTTGGTGGAGAAGCACTCGTCGCGGCGATCGCCATCGCAAGGAACGTCGTCGTGCCGAACATCACCTTCATCATGCTGCGACTGATCATCGCTGCCTCCGTCGGTTTCACCGCCGTCGTCGCCGCCGTCTCCGCCGGCGCCGGGAAGGGCGACAAGGCTCCAGCTAGACTCCACCTTGCCCTTCTTCGCCCGTTCTCCCGCTTCCTCTTCACAATCGCCCAAGGAGGCAACCAGACAACCCGACAGACGGGCGCGCCTGCGCCCGCGGGCGGCCCCGGCAGCTCAACGTCGACGCAGTCGGGGGCGACGGTGCCCATGGGGTCGCGCTTCCACGAGACCTTGTAGACGCATGCGCGCCAGCGCAGCGAGCGGTCAAAATCTCTCATTGCCCACCGCGAACTTGAAAATGCGCTGGTGGCCGACAACCGAGCACGAGATGGCACCGCAAAAGCTCCGGAACTGAAGTCGTACCTCACCATGTGGAAGTCCGATCTCCATGGCGTTAGTCTCTGGTGGCCAATATGGTACCTAACCTCTTCAGCATGCGGAAGCCCATCGATGAAACGGTCGGTGTCGAGATTCACGTCCATGGTATTATCCTCCGTGGGCTGCCGCTGACCGAGCGAGAAAATGAAGCATTCTGCTTGTGGGTGGAGCTGCTTTCGCCTCGGGCCAACTGGACAAGCGCGCTCCACGGCGATATTAACTCCAGCGATGAACGTCTTTACGTCGCGCCCAGGGCCAGCGCAAACGCAGAAACCCGCTCTGGTGCAAGGCTTAGGCGCGGGGCCGTCATCCGCCCACTCTGGCCGATCAACGTGGTCGACTGTCTCGTGGAACCCCGACCAGATGTTATTCAATGCATCGGTGAGCTGGCTTCTGGAACTGCTACCACCGCACGACAGAGCCCTGCTGACCGTCTGAGCGATGCTGAGGGACTCCCACACGAACGACGTCAAGGGCGCCCCTGATGAAGTGCATGGGGCGAACTCGGCGCGCCCGCTTGCAGTGGCGCCCATCTGCCCGAAGGTAGACTGAATAAACCTTTGGCCTCGTGCGTCGCGCCGCCTGACAGTGGCACCATCGACCCCCCAAGCTCCCATGCTGCGGCGCATCGGCTCCAAGCGAAGCTGGCGCTTTATGCCGACGACGCTGGCCATGGACGTCTCGGCTGCGGAGGGGCCGGCACCGACGCTGCAGACGCCCGCGGGGGCGGCCAGCTCAGTTTGGCCAGCGGCGGAAGCAACTGAGCACAGCGCCTGTCTGCTTTCGGCCATCTCCGCCAACGCGATCCCCGTCCTGTCTCTCGCAACCCTCCTGAGAGCGCGCCTGGTGTCGTCGCCGAACGGCTTGACGGCGCCTGCTCTCGTTGCCCTGGTGGCAATGGCGCCTGCCCTGGCATGCTCGGCCTTCTCCTCGGGACCCAGGGCAGCGCGCGCCAAAGATGCCTCGTGCAAGTCTGGGCGCCCTGACGTGCCCAACGTGGAATCTCTGAGAGCGCGCCCAGCGCCGCCGTGACCTCTGCGTCTCCTCTGGCACACGGCGGCCGCCGATGAAGACAAAGTCTTGAGAGCCGTCTTCCGCGCTGGTCGAACAGAGCCGCTCCGCAGTCGTCGGCCCTTCTTCCTGGAGAGCTCGCAGATCCCCTGGGCTGAAAGGCGCTTGATGTGCACGGCGTGCGCCTGCGCGCTCAACCCTACCAAAGACCGCCTGATCGTTGCGTGGCCGGCCTCCACGCTCGCCGTCTCCCGAGGCGCCGCTGACGCTACGCGCAGCAACTCCCCGATGCAAGCAAGGGAAGCCATGCCATGGCCTTGCCCAAATCGTCCTTGAGGTCCTCGCAATCGTCGGCGATCTCCGTCGTCAGCTGAGGCCCCCCAACCAAGCGGAAGAGCTTGAACGGGTAGCATTGGTGGAGTTCCCTGAGAACGTTGCACATGCACCCCAGCTGGCTCAGCAGCAAGAATGCGCGCTTGCGCAGCGATGATATACGGCAGCTAACTGGCACGATAGCCCACTCACGCGGGTCACTCATCAAAAACTGCAGCTGATTGAACAGCTCCGTCTCGCACAATAGCCTGCTTGCTGCGATCAACGGGCACCCGTCCACAATCATATCGGGGCCGATGCCAGAAGCACGCTGCGCGTTCCTGAAGTCAACGAGCCTGCAGTGGGCGTCGCCTGCCAACTTCAAGCACAGGTTCATAATGCGGAGCATGGGCTTCAGGACTCGACGAATGAGGACGAGATGGGCGAGGGAAAAACACTTCCACAACCACCTGGCCCCGTGCGCCCTGTGTTTCGACTCCTCCTGCCGCCGATCATCGAGGCTCAATTCGTTCCGCCGCGCTGCCTGCCCGCCGCCTTGCTGCCCGCCGCCGCCGGCCGCATGGCCGTCGCCGTCCTCGTCAAGCTCATGATCTCCGGCTCTGTACATACCGATGGCGAAGTTGTGATCCAGAGGCCCACCGAGGACAGCCACGTCGACACCAGTCCACTCGACATGGGTTCGCGCGAGGAGGCCGTGGCAACACTCCAGCAGCCCTAACCAGTCCGTGCACTCGCCGAAGCCTGTCCAGCGACTGCTAGGCCATACTGGCGGCTTGCGAATGGCAAGGCAAGCGACGAACAAAGACATGAATTTTGAAATGCGATCATCTCTGGATTCGCAGCACCCCGGGCAACAATGCTCCACGATGCGCCTGTTGGGCCAGCAGCCGCTGGCCAAGGACATGATGACGGATCGCCTCAGCCGAATGGGGCCCGAGGGTGGCTCGGGGAACGTACCCAGAAGCACGGTGTTATTCTCGAGGTCGACGCGCGAATGTCTGGCGTTCTCGCGGCGCGCCAAGTCCCCCGAGATCACGCGCCGCAATGCAAAGCGAAAGAGGCGCATCGAATCCGACGTGCAGAGGGCCCTCGCAACGTGGACCATCATGGCGGTGTGCAACTTGACCTGTGAGAGGACAGTCTTGAAGAAGCCGTGCGCGCGACGTATCTCACGCGTTATTTTCAAAGTGCTGCTCGAGGCCCTCCGCTCTCTGGACAAATTCCGCTCGAATCGGGTGATAGAACTAGCCCCGTCGGTGGTGACGATCCTCTGCGTGCGCTCGAAGAGCGCGGCGATGTCGGCCATCATCGGGGAGCTCCTCTCCGTGGACTCGTGCAACACCTCAGCTGTCGCTCGGGCCATCGACTGGATGTGGCCATCCATTGGAACATGAACGGCGACCATGCCGTGACCAGGAGCTTCGAACAACATAGCATAACTCCGTTGCGTGTTGAGGAGCTTGGCGATGTGGGAGGTCTCGCACGTGCAGCTGACAGGCACCTGCTGCCTCTGCTGAACAGCGCCATCTGCAGGGGGTACGCGGGCAGCAGGTGCAGGGAGCTGCTCGCGATCCGTGAGCCTGGTGTACATCGGCGTCTCGTCGTATCTCAAGCGCTCCGTGGAGGTGGCGGCCCTGCCACCGAGCTCCCGGACGTCCCGAACCACCCCTGAACACATAGAGCGAGCATCGCGCCACTGCACCAGCAAAGATGCGCAAGCCGCGGCACACAAGAACTGTTCAGCGCTCTGACGCTCCATTCCAAGTTGAGAGTGGCATTCAGCGATCCACGATCCAAGAGAGAATCGTCGTCTTCTGCTGCAGGAGGTACTGGCCAGCAGCTTCCATGGATGTGTTCGGAGCATCGGCCTGCACGCCACCGCGAGCCACGGCAAGAGCGCTCAACTTCTCTACGCAGCGCGCGGCATCCAGCTCAAATCGTTTCTGACCTGCGCCACCGCCGCCATGAACTGGAGGGTCGGCATCACCGCCAACGCCTGCAGGGACTGCGAGGGGGAGATCGGCATCACCACCAACACCTGCAGGGAGTGCGAAGGGATCGGCGGCATCACCACCAACACCTGCAGGAAGAGCGACAGGGTCGGCGGCGCCACCAACGCCTGCAGGGGGCGCGAGGACGCCAGCGCAGAGACGCCCGGACTGGTGGCGAAAAAACTTCACGGCCGACCTCACTGGCGCCCACGCCATCGACCGCTTCCTGGCCGACCCGGCTCTCTCGATGTCGGCGTGCGCCAGCCCGTCCGCGAACGCGTCCAACCGAGCCTCCTGGCCGCCAACGCAGAGCTCCCCACTGGGCTCGCTCTCTCCGGCCTCGGCCGCCTCCTCGGGCTCGCCTTGCGAACCGCGCCCTCCGTCGGACGGCGGGCCGCTCAGCGGCGCGCGCCCCCGGCCGCCATCCTCGCTGGAGCTGTCGTCCGCAACGACGGCTCCCCAGCTCGAGTGGGCGGCGAGCATCTGCAACGAAATGTTCGAGCCAGAATGGTTGCGGAACGATGTTGATGATGGCGACCGATTGGTGCCCATGACGGGGGTGTGATTGGGATTCAACGCAAGAGGGGACACCGACAAGACCTGCAATACGCACCGTGTTTCGACACGAGCCCTTCTACTCGTCCCCTTTTCCTTTGTTCGTTTCCAACCCACCCGAATTCTCCCCTCGCCCATCTCGGCATCATAGATCTCCTGCTCCTACCCCCCCTCCTGCCGCGCCTCTTCGCCCTGCTCCTCCCCGCTTGCCCCGTCATTCGCGTCGCCATCCCCCCCCCCCTCCCCAGTTCCCCCCCCCCCTCCCCACCATCCAATGTCCTTCCCTTTTTCCCCTTCCCCCTGCTCCCCACGCTCCTCCCTTCAAACCGTTAGACGCCACGCCCGTCCGAAACACGGTGCAACGAGTGCTCGTGGGCACTGGGGATTCTCTCATGGGCCTTTCCCCAGCGCGAACCTACGGTCGGCAAGGGCCGCCCCCCAAGACCCCCCTCAACAAGAAACGAATCTCTCACCGAGAATCCGAGGTCTCACGACCGATGATGGCCTTCCGCGCAGACCCATCGAAGCCCTTGCGCACGGCACAGCACACGGCACGCGGCACAGCGCGGCACACGGCACAGCACGGCGCATGGCACGGCATGCGGCACAACACGAAAGTTGCACGCGGCACGGCACGGCACGCGGCGCACGGCACAGCACGGCACACGGCACAACGAGGAGGTGGAACGGCATGAGGGGTTCCGGGATGAGGAAGAGAAGGAACGAAAATGAGGAGAGGAAAGATGACGAGGAAGATCACGAGGGAAAACGAAAGGAATGAGGGAGAGGGAATAGGACAACGAAGGGAAAATCGGAGGGTGGACGCTGGGTGGCATGGAGGCGGAGGACGAGTAAAGAGGATAATGATGTGAATAACAACAACACAGCCAGGGGGTGGACGAAAACGAAAATAACGTGGAGGAGGGGTGGGTGGGTCAGGAAGCAGGGGTGCGGGAGGGGAGGGGTGAGGGAGGAGGAAAAGGTATCAATATGAGGCTTGGCATGCAGTGGCGGAGGAGGAGGAGAAAGTAGAGGATGGATACAACATGAAGCGTACGTTTTTTGAATCGAACTGCTTGCGCCAATCCCGTCGAGGCGGGCGCCGATGGGGGAAACATATCGCGCTTATGCGAGTACAGCGACCGTCGTTCCTATTACCACCACTACTTCTACCACGGGCTGTCACTACGACTACCCCTACTATTAGCACGACGACTGCTACCGCAACTACCACTACGACGACGATCAGTTACATTACCACGACCAGTACTACGACGAGCGCCACTATAATGTTGCAATCGCCGCAGGGCCGACAAGAGCGCACGTGTTCCGAGAAGTCTGGGCCGTCAGTGCCACCATAGACGAGAACGCGTCGTTGCGGCAGCTATCACGCGTTCGGAGACTATGCGTTTTGTTCGTGGAAGCTGAACTATTCAACTCTACTGTTGTTGTTTGTCGCGCAACCGCTGAAGAATACCTCTTGTGTTCGTAAACTACCTGTGGGCCGAAATCTGCCCTACTCGGGGTGCTACTTTGGAACCCACTTTAAAGTTCCGCCCCTACTTGGAAACCGACCTTAGCATATATCTCAAAGTATACTCTGCCTGTTTTCTCAGAACCCCAGCAGTAGCAGGCCGCGCCTATCACACATTGGGCCTCTCATTCATGCGCGGCCGTGCCAGCCTCTTTTTGAACGTGTTGCTTCGCTACCTCCACTTCCAACTGAGCCTGCACTTCGGTATTCCGCATGGCCTGAATTGCTTCCTGCGCCTCATTCCCCGCACTGGCATGGCCAGCCTGGGAGGTCGTTACGGCCCGCTGAACACGCAGCGTGCGGGTGCATAGATCTCAGCTCGGCCTCCGGGCGGGTAGCCGACTCGTGTTCAGCGAGAGCCTCGGCCCTTGCTTGTGACAGCGCCTTCGCCCCCCCCGCTGGCTTCCCCCCAGATTGTCGACGCGGACTCCGTAATTAGTTTGAGCCCAGCGTGTGCCGTTGCAGCTCCATCTTGCGATGCCCGAGCCTTGTTCTCCAACTCTTGCTGCGTCGTCTGCGCGGCAAGTAGGGGCGACATGGCCGTCTCTTGAGCGTGAGTGGCCTTCTCCTCCAGGTGGCGTTTCTCAGCGATTGATTTCACGGCGGCTTGTTCCGCCTAAAAGACTGCCTGTTCATGAGACGCTGTGGTTTCCTGGAGTTTCAAACGGATGCCGTCCTCGAGCCGTGCTTCTCTGTCTTGAGCTCCCCGAAGGGCTTGACGTGCTTGTTCGGCTATGGTTCGTTCGGCCTTCGTCTGTTCCTTAGCTTCGCGGCCCGCCGAGAGCGCAGCCTACTGGAGGATCGTTTTCTCCTTCCTTTCCCTCTGGAGGACTTCGTGCATTTCTTACTCTGCCTTCTGCGCAATCATGTCAGCCTGCCTTTATGATTGGCTTCCATATCAGCCATCATTGAGCGCATGGCAGCGATTTCGGAAAGGCGTTACTGTTCCATGTGATGTTGCCTCATATCTTGCTGTTGCCCCCATTCGTGATTCTTGAAAGCAAAACAGTTGTGTTGTTTCGGAAGCATACAATCAAGGCGCAAGTAATTCATGTTGCACAGTGAACATTGGCACGAACAGCCTCGACACACTGGCTTCTTACATGGCCTGTTACCGGGCGCGCGGCCAGGGCAGCAGCCCTCGGGGCCTTCCGCGCAGTCCAATCCTTGATGCGCACAGGCTCCCCTAATCATGAATCGGGGCGCCGACGATCTCGAAGGAGACGATCCATGTTGAGAGCTCCTCGAAGTGCGACTACGACCGCCTTTTACCGACCTTGATATCTGGGAGATAGAGCTCGGGGAATCGAGGAGCTGTCTCCCTCGAAGTCGGGCCCCCGGTGCTGGGCTGGGCACGTCATGGGCGCCCAGCCCGCAAGGCTCGATCTTGGGGCGCTTTTCGCACGGCGACACCTTGATGTCAGCTGGGTCCTCTCTCGGGGCTTTCCCGTGTCGCACTTTCCGTCGCGACCCCCCTGGAAACGGTACTTGGTTCTCGGTTTGAACATCATTGTCTTCGGGGATCGCTTTTCCGGCCGGTCTGTGGACATGGTCCGCGGCCTCCATGACAGGCGTTCTTTCGTGCACGGACGTCTCGATCGTCTCCGAAGAACTCGAAATGGAGAAGGCTTCCTTCTTTCTCTTCGGGGTCTTTACGGTTCCTTCCTCATCAGACGAAGTGGAATTCACGACGCATGCTTGTGCGATGTCATCGGAGAGCGGGTTCGGGGGGCGGCTTTTGCCGCCGTGCCACTCTTCTTCTTCTTCTTCTTCTTCTTCTTCATCCGATTCATCGTCTGGAAGAGGCGTATCCTGTCGTCCACGGTTGACAGGCATGCCGTCCGTTCTTTCTTGATCTTGGATGCGCTGGGCGGTCGATGGTGTTGGTCCGTCGACCTGAATCTCATACTTCCCTGGCTTTGTCAAGCCAAGGTCGTTTCCCACATTATGTGTTTCTTGTGGGGGGAGTATCTTGCTAGCCCCAAGATGACCAACATGGTCGGATATCCTTGGAATAGAGCGTTCGGCTGATAACCTATCTTTACCCAACTGAAGCCCAATAGGGCCAATATGATCAGGATGTACATGTGGTAAATGTGGTGCTCCTAGCATTGGTTCAAAGGAACGTCTTGGGCTCAAGGATTCCCGAGAGACCATGGCGGCAAAGAAGAAGGCGATAGCCGTATAAGTATGATATTCGACTGTCCGTTAAGCGGATAGGGAACAAAAGAGAGTGCGGGGCACGCGCGCGTTGTTTCCCTTTTGATCCCATACAGCTAGAGATCAGTCGACTTAGTGTTCAAGTAAATGCATGTCGGCGGCAGGGAGCGCATGGTAACGACTGGAACACATGGTCCGATAGCTTGGTAAAGCTCTTGCCACAACGCTCGGCCACATGGTCCATTCCAAACGGCAGGGGGCGGCGGTGAATCGTCGTAGGCGCATTCGGTTAGAAGAGCAATGTGTCTTCGGCGGCGAGCTCGAACACGCGGTGGAGGGGTCACGCAGTAAGCCGCCGCTTGTTGAACTTCGGCGAGCTGGTTGGAATGTGGTGCTCATGGGCCGTGACTTTTGTACGCCTGTGGCGATCATGCACGGTGTAACCCTCCAAACAATGCGCCAATCTTCGACGATGGCGGAAGTCTTGAATATGGCCTTTGCGGGCGGGGCATATCGCCGAGCGACTCCCGTGAGTATGCTGACTTTATGCCGCTCGCTGAGGCCGCACTGAAATTGAGGGAAGAACAACTACGAGCTCGTTCAAGGCACCCCTGCCTGAGGTCATCATATGCGGGGCGATGGTCAGACTCAGCACGTGCAACACGTCAAAACGCACACATTGGACGAGTAATACAATGTTCTGTCGGACATCGGCAGGCACATCACAGACGCAAACGCGGTTGCCGATGTGCTGCCAGAAACCTGAGATGTGCCGGGCCTGCTGGCACATCTCGCGGTTTTGTTCGTTTCGGTATGGGGCCTGGGGCCCAAGAGCGCCGTGGTGAAAAACTTCGAAAGCCCACGGTTAAGGGTATTGCGGTCCTCCATGATTAGAGCAATGGCTACCCGCTGCTCGACCCGCTCCTGAAAGGAGGGCGCGGGGGTGTGTTTTTTTCACCCTCAGGTGCACTGCTCGAAGCAGGTGTCGTGCAGATCGCAGAATCGTAGAATCCTTTGCATCTACCTCCACCGCCTCCTCCTGCTCCGCCTCCTCCCCTCTCCCCCTCCTCCTCCTCCTCCTCCTCCTCCTCCTCCTCCTCCTCCTCTCCTCCTCCTCCTGCTGAACGAAGAGGACAAGACTAGGCGAGCCAGAAAGAAACAGTAAGGGGAGAAAACCAGTCCACGAGTCCCTCTTCCTCCCCGCCCTTTTCCCCTCCTCTCCTCCTCCTCCTCCTCCGACTCCTCCTCCTCTTCCTCCTCCTCCGCCTCCTCCTCCTCCTCCTTCTCCTGCCCCCTCCTGCTCCTTTTGCTTCTCCTCCTCCTCCTCCTCCTCCTCCCCCTCATCCTTTTCCTTCTCCTCCTCTCCCTCCTCCTCGTCGTCCTCCTCCTCCTCCTCCTCCTCCTCCTCCTCGTCCTCCTCCTCCTCCTCCTCCCCCTCCTTCCCTCCTTCTCCTCTCCCTCCTGTGAAAGTCCTTCGCCTCCGGCGTCGGGCTGGCCGCAGGGCTCCTCCGTGCCTCCGCCAGTGGCGTCGGGCTCCTCCGCGCCTCCGCCCGCTCGGCGGCCGCGTCCGCCTGGGCGGCCAGGGCGTCGCCGTCCGCTGGAGCGGCCGCGGCGCGCGGCTCCTTGGAGCGCTGCAAGACCGCTCCCTCCTCCTCCTCCTGTTCCTCCTCCTCCTCCTCCGCCTCCTCCTCCTCCTCCTCCTCCTCCCGCTTCCTCCGCCTCCTCCTCCTCCTCCTCGTCCTCCCGCTTCCTCCCCTCCCCCTCCCCCTCCTCCTCCTCCTCCTCCTCCTCCTCCTCCTCCTCCTCCTTGTCCTCCTCCTCCTGACTCGTCCTCCTTCTTCCTTCCTCCTCCACCTTCCTGCTGCTGCTGCTCCTCCTCCTCCAGGCCAGAAAGGTGCGAGCGCGACGACCCAGAGCCGCTGCCGAAGATAAAAGGTAGGTGGAAGCAGCAGCCACGGCGTGAAGCAGCACGACATTTTTGGGCGACGCTCCAAATGGCGTGGTCCCCAGCGGCGAAACCAAGAAGGGCCGCCACTACGAGGGCCGTTTGAACGAGGATGGGCCCCAGCATCGTGAGTTCCAAGTTCGCGACGATTTCGAAGCGGAACTCAGCGCCATGATGCTCGGGCCGATGCTGGCTAACCCCGTCACCGAGGAGCTGCAGGTTCAGCTGGAGGAGGCGATCGAGAACGTCAAGATGATGCTCCTCAACTTCCTTACGCGGGCGCAGGCCGTGAAGAGCTTTCTCATGGACGAGGCCGCGAAACAGCTCACGGAGAACAGCCCAGCGCAGGGTCCATTCATGGACTTCGGCCGTTGCTGGTCGGCGTCGCCACTGCTGGACCCGTCTGGAGAGCTGGGGGCTCAACCCCGAGGCGTGGAGGGGCCGATGGGGTTGAGCCGAGGTGGCGCGGGTCCCCCGGCCAGGGGCCTGGCCTGGCCCAGCAAGGTCAGGCAAATTCCCTCGCAACCTGCGCGGGGCGGGGGGCGGGCGCCCGTGGGGCGCAACGGTCCTGGACCGCTTCACCTTCAGCCGTCAGCCTGCATCCCCCTCCGCCATCCTCCCTCCCTCCTTCCCTTCTGCTCCCCCCCCGTCCTTTCTCGCTCCACGCTCACACCGCGCTGTCTTCAGTGTGAATGACCGGCGCCTCGGCGCCACCGCTCGGTTCAAAAGAGGACCGCGCCCTGGCGCGTTGGGAACGTCCGTCCGTCTGTCCATCCGTCCGTCCTCCTCCTCCTCCTCCTCCTCACTCCCTCCTCCCTTTTCCTCCTGTTCCTCCTCCTTCCTACCCCCCCCCACCGGGAACGCGCGAACCTCAGAAGGATGGAGGGGCGGAGGAGGAGGAAAAGGAGGAGGAGGAGGACGAGGAGGAGGAGGAGGAGGAGGAGGAGGTACAACAACAGATAAAAGGGGCTGTTGGGGCAGGTCTGGGTCAAGCCTACCAGCGTGGGGGATATGCACGCGTGCCGAACGTCTCTAACAATCCCTTCGGTCTGCCTGGGGCGCCCCCCTGGCTCGGGGACGAGGGGAGGGGAGGCGCAGCAAGGGGGCGAGGACTCCATATCAAGAGTGCCAGTGCGGGGCGGGGTGGGCGTGCTGGGGTCGCTCCTGGGTCCGAGCATGACCCTAAGGGGACACATAAAAACGAGCCGGAGAGCAGCAGAGGGAGAGGAGGAAGGACCGCTGCCGCGCCCCGCCGTGAAGCTCGTTGGGCCGCCAGCCCCGCGCGGTGCACGCACGGTCGCGCGCGTTCGCGCGCGGGGCGTGGCCTCCTCGGTCCCCCCCCATCGCCCCCTCCGCCACTGGGCCCACGGCCCCTCTCACGGGAACTACAGACTAGCCCCCGCCAGCGCCAAGGGAAAGGGGGGGGGGAAAGGCGAAGGCAAAGGGGCAGGAGGACGGGGAGACCAGGCGCGGACGAGCGAGAGGGAAAAGGGGGGGCGGGGGGAGATCGGCGATCCAGAAAAATCGCGACAGGTGGAAACAAAACGCTAAGGGGAGAGAAGGACCAAAGGAACGGAGGACCGACAGCAGACAGAACCATAGGAGAAAAAGAAAGAGCTCCGCAGCGCACGACGCAGGAAGGCCAATGCGGAAAAGGGGGAAGGGAGAGGCCCTTCGGGGCCGAGTCCGAGATCATTGTTGCTCGATGTTCGGCGGGGCCCCGCTCGCATTCTGGTGTCGGCAATCCTTTGCCCAGCTGTTGGCCCCCTGCTGAAGTGCGCTGGTCCACGCGTGGTTGGTCACGGGCTTCCGTTTGCGATTGCAGACCCAGCAGTGCGAGATTGCTGAGTCCCCAGACCAGTCGCAGTGTTTTTTGTCGCCGTCGTAGGTAGGAGACCGATTTCTGACCACACCCACTTCCCGAGGCGCCTTGCGAGAAGCAGTTTCCAGAAGTGGAGGTGGGCAGTTTCCCCGCCCCAGGGGAAGGAAAAACTACCCACTTCCACCCCCGGGGGCATATCATAAAACCGAGGATCCAGAAGTGGATGTGGTCAGAAATCGGTTTTCGAGTAGGTGAGCCTTCCCCTACTGTAACTCGCCCAGCCCCCCTCGAGGTGCAGGCTCGGGACCCCGAGCTTTACATCGCACGCCCCCAGGAGGGCGAAGGCGCCCCTGCGCGGGTCCTTCGCGGGCCGAGCGAAGCACGCTTTACGCTGCCGCGCGCAACGTGCAGCGCGGGCGGTGAGCGGCCAGGAACCGCGAGTGCCTGGAATGGCTCGCGGCTGCTGAGCCGCTGGGCTGACGCCCTTTGGCTTCAAGGTGGTCCGCGAACAACAAGTAGGTCGTGGCGATGTTATCATCTGGCTCCGGCCCCTCCTGCCCTGGGGTCTGCTTCGTCCGCGCCATCTCCCGCGAGGAACAAAGCGATGCGTCTTCGGAGCTGGTCGGTGATGATGGCCATCTCATTATCGATCCAGCCCTTCGCCCTCTACGTCTCGATGTTGCTCGGGTTGATCTTGGCTTCCGCGATCAAGACTTTCGCCGTCCACGGCTCTGGGCTGTTCGCGTCGGTCTTCAAATTCCCGATCCTGCCGTTCACCTTCCAAGTCTCCGGGTTGTTCGCGTCGGCCTCCGGCGGTTTCGTCGACTGCGCTGGCTTGTCGATATTATCCTGCTGCTTGCCGACCCAAGTGCTCCGAGTCCCCTCGTCGCCGTGCAGCGGCTCGTCCACCCACCTCTTCTCGTGGGCCCTCGCGCGCGGGAGAGGCCGCTCCTCGGGGTGGTCCGGCAGCGAGCCCCTCGCCATCAACAGCTTCATGATGGCTGCGCCGATCACGTTGATCTGGTGCCGCATTATCTCGACGCCCTCCTGCCTCTCCATCCCCTCGCGCATGTAGGTCATCTCGCCTGCTCGCCTGACTTGCGCATCTCCATGCTCGCGGTGAGTTGTTTTCCTCGTCCTGCAACGCCCTGATGTTGAAACCTGGGTCCACCGCCTGCTCGTTGAGGAACGTCGCCGTGCATCGTCTCGCTTGCCCCCTCCTGCCGCCTGCGTTTCTCCCTGGACACTGCCGCGGCCCATGGTTGGAAAGCTCGTCGTCGCCGTGTAATCCCTGCTGTATCGTTGCGGCTGTCGCGCCGTGGATCTTGTCAGCGAAAGAATGTAGGCTGGTGGCTGCGGACGTATTATGTTTGATCTCTGGCGGCGCCCCGTTGGTGTCCCAAGGTATGAATGATGGCCCCACTGCGTCGCATCTGATGTCGTCGTTTTTTACCTAACAGCTTGTTCTGATAGGTTTCTAGTGGTGTCAAAAGAGAGCAGCAGATGACTCCACAGGGGGGTCTGGGCGGGTGCCGGACAGGGTGCCGCAGAAGTCGTTTTAAGCCAACAGTCACACACTTCGTGCTCTTCGACCTCCCAGAACTCCATTCCCGGGCCACATTCTGAATGCCCGGAGCCAACTGTAGGCCACTTCGTGCTCTTCGACTTCCCAGAACTCCATTCCCGGGCCACATTTTGGATGCCCGGAGCCAACTGTAGGCCACTTCGTGCTCTTCGATTTCCCAGAACTCCATTCCCGGGCCACATTTTGGATGCCCGGAGCCAACTGTAGGCCACTTCGTGCTCTTCGACTTCCCAGAACTCCATTCCCGGGCCACATTTTGGATGCCCGGAGCCAACTGTAGGCCACTTCGTGCTCTTCGAGTTCCCAGAACTCCATTCCCGGGCCACATTTTGAATGCCCGGAGCCAACTGTAGGCCACTTCGTGTTCTTCAAGTTCCCAGAACTCCATTCCCGGGCCACATTTTGAATGCTGAGGCAGGCTGATGCTGCGGCCGCAGGCTGAGGCTGAGGCTGAGGCAGGCTGAGGCTGAGGCCGAGGCTGAAGGCAGACTGAGGCTGAGGCTGAAGCAGGCTGAGGCTGAGGCTGAGGCAGGCTGAGGCTGAGGCTGAGGCAGGCTGATGCTGAGGCAGGCTGAGGCTGAGGCTGAGGCTGATGCAGGCTGAGGCTGAGGCAGGCTGAGGCTGAGGCCGAGGCTGAAGGCAGACTGAGGCTGAGGCTGAAGCAGGCTGAGGCTGAGGCTGAGGCAGGCTGAGGCTGAGGCAGGCTGAGGCTGAGGCTGAGGCAGGCTGAGGCTGAGGCTGTGACTGCGACTGCCGTTGCCGCTGCGACTGTCATCGCGAATGCGACTACGACTGCGAGAACAGCAGAATTCTACAACTGGATTTTCATCTGAATCTTAAGGGGAATGCTTTCAGATATGCTTCTACACATCGCTGTTAGGTTGCTTTGCCGGGATAATTAATATTGTTATTACCTAACAGCTTGTTCTGATAGGTTTCTAGTGGGGTCAAAAGAGAGCAGCAGATGACTCCACAAGGGGGTCTGGGCGGGTGCCGGACAGGGTGCCGCAGAAGTCGTTTTAAGCCAACAGTCACACACTTCGTGCTCTTCGACCTCCCAGAACTCCATTCCCGGGCCACATTCTGAATGCCCGGAGCCAACTGTAGGCCACTTCGTGCTCTTCGACTTCCCAGAACTCCATTCCCGGGCCACATTTTGAATGCCCGGAGCCAACTGTAGGCCACTTCGTGTCTTCGAGTTCCCAGAACTCCATTCCCGGGCCACATTTTGAATGCCCGGAGCCAACTGTAGGCCACTTCGTGCTCTTCG